AGCACTTTTTACATTAAGATAATTTTTGAATATCATATTTCGTATATGTTATTGTAATATAATGCATGCAATTTGCATATATGGTTGGTGTAGTGTGATGTTTGTATATAATGTGATGGCTAGTGTAATCTGATGTTTGTATATAATGCGATGGCTAGTGTAATCTGATGTTTGTATATAATGTGATGGCTGGTGTAATCTGATGTTTGTATATAATGTGAGGGTTGATGTAATCTAATGTTTGTATATAATGCGATGACTGATGTAATCTGATGTTTGTATATAATGTGATGGCTGATGTAATCTGATGTTTGTAAATAATGTGATAGCTGGTGTAATCTGATGTTTGTATATAATGTGATGGCTGGTGTAATCTGATGTTTGTAGATAATGTGATAGCTGGTGAAATCTAATGTTTGTATATAATGTGATGGCTGATGTAATGTGATGTTTGTCTATAATGTGATGGTTGATGAAATCTAATGTTTGTATATAATGTGATGGCTGGTGTAATCTGATGTTTGTATATAATGTGATGGCTGGTGTAATCTGATGTTTGTATATAATGTGATGGCTGGTGTAATCTAATGTTTGTATATAATGCGATGACTGATGTAATCTGATGTTTGTATATAATGTGATGGCTGATGTAATCTGATGTTTGTAAATAATGTGATGGCTGGTGTAATCTGATGTTTGTATATAATGTGATGGCTGGTGTAATCTGATGTTTGTAGATAATGTGATAGCTGGTGAAATCTAATGTTTGTATATAATGTGATGGCTGATGTAATCTGATGTTTGTTAATAATGTGATGGCTGGTGTAATCTGATGTTTGTATATAATGTGATGGTTGATGAAATCTGATGTTTGTATATAATGCGATGGTTGATGTAATCTGACGTTTGTATATAATGCGATGGCTGATGTAATCTGATGTTTGTAAATAATGTGATAGCTGGTGAAATCTGATGTTTGTTAATAATGTGATAGCTGGTGTAATCTGATGTGTGTAGATAATGTGATGGTTGATGAAATCTGATGTTTGTATATAATGTGATGGCTGGTGTAATCTAATGTTTGTATATAATGCGATGACTGATGTAATCTGATGTTTGTATATAATGTGATGGTTGATGAAATCCAATGTTTGTATGTAATGTGATAGCTGGTGTAATCTGATGTTTGTTAATAATGTGATAGCTGGTGTAATCTGATGTTTGTAGATAATGTGATGGTTGATGAAATCTGATGTTTGTATATAATGTGATGGATGGTGTAATCTGATGTTTGTATATAATGTGATGGCTGATGTAATGTGATGTTTGTATATAATGTGATGGCTGATGTAATGTGATGTTTGTATATAATGTGATGGCTGGTGTAATCTGATTTTTGTATATAATGTGATGGCTGATGTAATCTGATGTTTGTAAATAATGTGATGGCTGATGTAATCTGATATTTTTATACAATGTGATGGTTGATGAAATCCAATGTTTGTATATAATGCGATGGTTGATGTAATCTGATGTTTGTAAATAATGTGATAGCTGATGTAACCTGATGTTTGTAAATAATGTGATGGTTGATGAAATCTAATGTTTGTATATAATGTGATGGCTGATGTAACCTGATGTTTGTAAATAATGTGATGGTTGATGAAATCTAATGTTTGTATATGATGCGATGGCTGATGTAATCTGATGTTTGTATATAATGTGATGACTGGTGTAATTTGATGTTTGTATACAATGTGATGGTTGATGAAATCTGATGTTTGTATATAATGCGATGACTGGTGTAATTTGATGTTTGTATACAATGTGATGGTTGATGAAATCTGATGTTTGTATTTGATGTGATGGCTGATGTAATCTGATGTTTGTAAATATTGTGATGGCTGGTGTAATGAGCTGTTAATGATGTAAGGATTCGTTTTGTGTAATGTTTGTAAATTGATTTATGTTGCAATGTGATGTTTCTAACATATGTGATGGTTTATGATTTGTGATGTAATGTCATAGTATTCACCAACCACTATCGGGTATTTGAAATCGTTAGGCACAATTTTGCTCTGTTGATACGCCAAGAACAGCTATTCAGAAATATATAAAACTATTCCCGAATGACCACCCATGTATGTTTTATTTTCCAAAACATGCATTAAAGAACAAGATAAAGTACAACTGTCAATAAAGCACAAAATCATTAATATAGGATGTCAGAACGGAAATGTGTAGGTATATCAAGGTGTGAATTCTACGCGACCTGTATAAAAACTGATCATTAATGGGCAATACCATACAGTTTCTAATCAAGAAATAATCAACTGTCGGAAATAGTCTGATCGATCAGGCAGTGGTGGTGATTATTCTTCAATAGATTACACTGATACATACAAACTGAATCTTCTTTCCTATTGGCTTCTTTCTGTTTCTACGATTTGTAGACGGTATCAAGTCTGTTTTTTTCTTCAAACTACTGCGATTTTGAAGAATAGAAAAACGTGAAACAAATGACAACTCTGTCTCATATTATTTGTTCTTGTTCTTGTTCTTGCATCATGCTGGGACTAAAGATATTTTTTAAAATGCAGGCTAATGAGGCTATAATCTAATCTTTGAGGGTAGGTTTATGTCAAATTGTAGAGAAATCAGTTGAAAGAATTCACTCTGAAGCGTAAAATTAAGCTTGTACAGAAAATATTGAGCAGATCAACCCTACCAAAACAATAAACTGCAATACACTAGATTACTCCACCGGGTGGCGATAGAAGCATATTTTTCACTAAATGTTCCTAAACCGCTAAATTAAGGAATTTATAAGTAAATGCACTAGTTAAATGTACTACGTCGTGTAGTATTATTGCATATTACACATTGCGTCTGAAGATAAATTTAAATGCTTATAGTATAAGTGAGATTTGTATCGCATTAGAAGCTTCAGAGAAAACAGATCCAATTTCTTAATAGCTGTTATAAGTTTTAGCTTAAAAGCTTTATCCCATTACCATTGCTATCTTTATACCTATAAAAACATGTTCAGTTTACGGTTGGTAGATGACAAGTTAACGTCCGTTTCCAGCGTAAGCAGATATCACAGACAAAACATTAGGGAATATATACCCTTTCTATGTGAGATTATAATGTGTCTATGTAGGGAATCGACATGTGTGCCAAATTGCAGTGATTACAAAAAGGAGAATTCATGACACCCTATAGTTAGTTTTTTTGATCTGAGACTTGTGCAGCTGGACAGAAGCAGCCAGCAGAAGTGACACTCTGAAGTATCAACTTACAAAATGATAAAAGCATAAATTAATTTTATTTCACCCAAAAATGCATATGACCCTTAATTGATTATAGTTTCTACCCAATTCTGTAAATTGGATACATGCGAATAAACACCGGGAAAACCAGGACGTGCACAGCCTAAACCGAACGATACAACACCAGCCAGAACCCATGACGCACCATCAGCACACATCAATGGACCTCCAGAATCACCCTACAAAATATTATGATATAAAATGAATCGAGGTAAGTATCAGGGTTACAAAAAACCTTACCGCAATGTAAAATTCTAAACGACAAATTCTTATTGTAATATTTTTTGAGGAACTGGGCTCAGAAACCAAGAATTACACAGCTTGGAAATCTTTCTTCATGCTGAAGAACGCATAATGGTGAGTAACAACATGATTCAGACTATATTTTAATATTTCTATTATATATCTTCATTTTATAACGTTCAACAAACTGGACAAACAATACTCTCTCATTTGAGGTTGGGCCGGCATGCCTGTGCCTGTGCTTTCGTAACATTACTTAACCGCAATGTTACAACCTAAAATTCCTAGGTTTTTTTTCCATTTAACAATAGGAATATAGTACAAGTTCTCTACAATATGGCTCACTTTCCCCATATACTTGTACACAAATCGTTTCAATTTTCATGAGTAGAAAATACTAGGATCCCGCCAGATAAACCTTAAAGTTAAATTAAAGCAACAGCTCTTTACCTGACAAGCATCCACACCACCAGTTGAATATCCAGCACATAATTTCTTATCATCCATCATTGTTGTTCCGTAAGCATCACGACACACACTGCTGTCCATTATTGGTACTACAGATTCTTGCAGAACATCAGGGAAACTACCAGACTCTACAATCATACAGATAGGGGAAGAGATATAACAAATATTCTGTATCGGTTTTATCCACAGATGGGTAACATCTATTTCCAGTACAAACAGCTTAGTCATGAAATCTCATTCCTCGGTCTGCAGCCAGCGAGATCTTCATAAAGCAGTTATACGTGAATCCACCACTTGGACATTTCCGATCCGTTAGTTTTTAACAATCTTGAAGATAGCAATTTCAATTATCAAACATATACCAGGTTCATTGGTTTCACTGGGGTACTTAAAGAATTATTTATTTACATTGTTTGAATGCTGCAATGTTTTTGATAAAACCTACCTTCCAATGCCCCCCAACCAGTCACAAGACATGGTGTCCCAACTGCAACATTCAGTGTTAAAGATGGCATACATGCTGGCTTGATACAATTATTTGTCTCAGGTAGTTTCGTCTGAAGTGTTAATACAGCAATATCGCGACCTGCAAAAGATAAACGTTCATTTTAGAATTACATTTAATTGTGAGTCGAAATGAACATTCAACCTTTCTGCACCTGATTGGGCTAATGAAGACGGGTTTATTTTGAGTGGAAAATTTTTAATAAATAATTGAATCAACCTCTCCTTCAAATCTTCATGTTTCAATATTACGAAACAAATGAATACCGAGTCCTCTATCTTATGGTTATAAACAGCTTAACATATTGCGTTCAAGTTAGCTTTTGTAATTGCGGAGTTCATCTAAAGACCCGAAGCTACCTAATAATATATCTAACTACATAATTAACCTTATATTATCGTTAGACAGAAGTTTCCTAAGAAAAAAACTCATTATGTATAAAATGTGAATAGAAGTAATAATAAAAACCAACACCCATTGATTGGTTTAATTTGTTGAGAGGAAATTAACGTCTAGTTGATCACCGATTAATAAAGTCTTAATAGATCTGTTTTCCAGTATTTTGTTTGACATACCTATCACATTTACACTGTTTAATAAGCAATTGAAATATTAATTAGTTTTCTAGTAGATTCTATTAGCAAATTTTTCGGATCAATATGCTAACTTAATGAGTGTTATAAGTTTAAATTTAGAAATATTCAATCCATATAAAAATCAAGCTTATGTCCTATCATACATGTGAATCAGCATCGGATCTATTGTTTTCTGCAAATATTGTCTTTGGCAAGGGTCTATTTTGCTAACTTTGCTATTGTGCTATTCTACAGAGAGGTATTATTAGGTGATATCAAAAGAGTTCTTCCTTCTGAAAGAGAGGCGTGGAGACCATGGAATATTGTTACTCACTTAAATACTAAAATAGAAATTTATGAGATAGACAAGAATGCTTTCTTCACCTAGTACAATTTTTGTTACGTAAAACATGAAAATGGGAAAGATAGACAGAATGGCTGCATTACAAATGACCGTGGAATTTTGTTACTTGCGTAATGTAATGTCAATAAGGAAATTGAGAATATAGACAGAATGACTGCATTACCGCAGAACTGTAGAATATTCTTACTTACCAAATGTAGAAGGATAATATTCGGGATGTCTGGAAACCACTGATACTTTGTAATAAGTTAGCTTGGATTTAGTTGACGAACCAGCCCCGACTGTGATACTGGAGGCAGGTATTTGGTAGTTACCAGTTCTAGAAACAAACCAACCATCTAGTACAATATAACATGAGGATAATTTACTTTTCAACAATCTTGAATTATCACTACTTCAAATTAGTAAATGTTGTTGATTTTGATTACACCCAACAACACATGATCACTAGATCAAATCAAATTTATGCTCTAGGCAACTGATCTGAGGGCTTTTAGTGAGCTGGGAATAACCATGAAGTAGATATTGTCCGAATAAGTCCTTTCATAGTTGACTCAACGTACTGCTAGATACTCATACGATTTCCAAACTGCTGGGATGGTCAGTCTGTTTGTGGACAGAATACAAGATACTAGGATTTTTCTAACCCCGTTTTTACGATTAGACGCCCAAAGTTGGACTTGCCCGCAATTAGCAAAGCAAAAAGGACATCTATAAACATGTGTAGAACTGGTTACTATCCATCGGTGTAACCCGGCTTTGCACGCCAATGTTTGGTGCTGTTTTCCACCTTTCGTGGCCCCCACTCGGCCCCAACTAATTGTCCATAAAACACTACTGCATGTCCTTACTGTAAACAATGAGCTGCTGTTATTACATGCTGATAATCTATTAAAGTTCCACCACAGTTAAAACCTCCGGCCTTTACATGAACCTGCCACGGATATTGACACTCTTGAGCTTGTAAACCACCAACTATCTTAGGTCTTCGCTGTAAATAGGTAGTGGCTGACCCTGTCAGAGCACTCTTACCACATTCTGAAATATTAAGCTGATATCAAATCCACGATTTCATGCTTTGAATAGTACCTGCCCCACAATATCTCGAGATAAAATTTAATCGTACAAAGAAATATATATTTGACACCCTCTGGCGATAAAAAAAACAGTGGAAAACATTCTTCAGCATAGCAATGCAAGGGATAAAACCCATACTAGTAATATATAAATCAGACCACGTCAATATAATATATTGTTACCTGTGTTGCCTGTTGATGGATTCGGAATTGTTAATCCTGCAATGATAATGTTACAAGATTAATATATTTGGCAATAGAAATGTATAGATTTAGAATTTGTAGCGAGGAGAAGAAGGCTGCGCCAGTGGGGTATAAAAGGGCGGTGTATTTATAAAAATATTGTTTGTACTCCCTCTTCATTTCTGACAAATTTAACCTAATACATGCGTCAGAATGTACCATTATTTCAATTCTATTTTCCAGAGAGAGAACCCTATCAAACGCTCCATGGGGGGCTTATGGCACTCAATCTTGACTGTAATATTAATATTTTTTTTTTTAAAATGCTAATTAAAATTTTTGATTTAAATAGTAACGTTTTATATACGTTTACTTCAAGGGAGGAAATCTTCTGCAATTTTATTTGACCCCTGAGGCTACCTATGAAAAAACTTCTGCCTTTCTACCCACCACCGTCTTCATAACGTCAACTTCTCCCTTCTGCCAATCTACCCACCGCCGTATTAATACCTGCCAACGTCTCTCTTGTGTCTATCTACCCACCATCGTCTTAAAACCCGCCAACTTCTCCCTTCTGCCGATCTACCCACCATCGTCTTAAAACCTGCCAACTTCTCCCTTCTGCCTATCTACCCACCATCGTTTCAATACCCGCCAATTTCTCCCTTCTGCCTACCTACCCACCATCGTCTTAATACCCACCAACGTCTCCCTTCTGCCTATCTACCCACCATCGTCTTAATGCCACGCCAACTTCTCCCTTCTGCCTATCTACCCACCATCGTCTTAATGCCACGCCAACTTCTCCCTTGTGCCTATCTACCCACCATCGTCTTAATGCCACGCCAACTTCTCCCTTCTGCCTATCTACCCACCATTGTCTTAATGCCACGCCAACTTCTCCCTTGTGCCTATCTACCCACCATCGTCTTAATGCCACGCCAACTTCTCCCTTGTGCCTATCTACCCACCATCGTCTTAATGCCACGCCAACTTCTCCCTTCTGCCTATCTACCCACCATCGTCCTAATACCCGTCAACTTCTCTTTTCTGCCTGTCTATCCACCGCCGTCTTAATACACGCCAACGTCTCCTTTCTGCCATTCTACGAAACGCCGTCTTAATACCCTTCAACTTCTCCCTTCTGCCCATCTACCCACCGCCGTCTTAGTACCCGCCAACTTCTCCCTTGTGCCTATCTACCCACCGCCGGCTTAATACCCGCCAACTTCACCCTTCTGCCTGTTTTCCCACCGCCAGGAAAATTTTGAAAAATAGCATGAATTTGGTGCATGCTGACACATATTTTGGGACGAAATTTTTTTTAGAAATGAAGTGAGAATACAATTGGGGGTAAAAAAAAAACATTTTTAAGGGGGGTGGGGGGATGTAACCCAACTGGCGCCATAACTCTTAGTCTCTACATTCACTTTCCAGTTTGGTCATTGGTGTATTGATGTATATGTTGGTTATAAGTTGATGTGGTATGTTAGAGGTACAATGTATATATCTAGTGACCATTTTGACCTCACGTCATACTCAAATCTGACAATAAATTGAGTAAATATTGAAATAAAACGTTTAAATATTAGACTATCATCAGTCAATATTAGAATAGTTTTAATATAAAACTTTCCCCAATTAAATATACATTATGACACGGGCATTTGTGTATTCTTTCCAATTTTGAGATTTTGAAACAAGGAAAAAAACGTGAATATATGAATAAATTCAATTTTTAAGAAAACAAAGTAGCTGTGAAAAATTACTATCAATTTTGAGATTTTGAAACAAGGTAAAAAACGTGCATATATGAATAAATTTAATTTTTAAGAAAATAAAGTTGATGACAATAATGTAAGGTACAATAGGCCTAATATGTTTTTTCATAGAATTATATACTCCGAACTATACAGTTTACAAGAACCACAGAAACTCAAATCTTGGGTAAAATTCCAAGACAAACACTAGATATTGTAGAATGTATAGCTTTGTTTGATCTGATGTCACGACGCTTTTAATATTGTTGAGAGAATACTTTTGAATGAGATCTGCGAGCACGAAGTGTATTTTGATATATTAATAGCAAAAGTAATTTCTGAAAGTATGTTAAGATATATTATTCTTTTTATTTATCTAGCTGCAGAATACGATTACAGTATCAGAATTATATTCCAGATTAAAAATGTAGATCAGACTTCCGGTTGTGAACATGTAGCGACGGAAGTAACAACAGTATTATCACTAGATCTTACTGATGACGTAATCGCACTGGCATAAAGTATGATAATAACGGTCTTGAAACGTCGGCTGATCCAACTGCCACCGCCACGTTTTATTTATAAAAGACGAATCGCATGTCATATTTTCACTCTGTAAAGCTCTACGAGTAGTTAGAACTAAGCTTTATCAAAGAGTTAACCTTATGTTTGGGTGACTGTATACTTTAAAATAAAGTTGAACATGAACATTATTTAAATGAGTAATTGTGTCAATATCTACAAGACCGTCTTTTTCTTCAAATATTAACATTTTCAAGTAGGCTCTTCTTCCAAGTCTTTTGTTCAATTTAACAATTTAGATTTTTTAACAAGTTACCACCACTTTACTTTCTTCTATTTACTTCATATATACACCGAGCTTGTATCTATTTTAATTTGTAAACAACATGGACAATGATGAAAGATACCGTTTTCTTTTGTTCAAATTTGGTTGAAGACTTCAAAGGAAAATTTGTACCTTCGCCGAAGCTGAATGAAAAGAAATTTCGTGAAAAATAATTTTTAAGAAAATAGACAAAATATAAATTATTTGTCTCCTCAAAATATGAAAACAATATTTTTTTCAGTCTTAGATTGGAGATTTGAATACCAAATTTATGTAGGATGAAGCTCATTTTACACCATAATAAACATATAATTTCTTATATGGATCAGACAGTTAGAGATATTATATTGAAAATTATCTTCACAATGGTAAAGCTTATACTAACTTCATCTTATACCTTGACTACAATAGCCTCTTCTCTCTCATCACGGAGGTATTTAAATCGACACCTCGACACCTCGACAGAAAGTCTAAATAATATATCATAATGTTTACAGTCTTTCTTTTGAGGGCTCTGATTGGCTGTATTCGTTGGCGTACAATTCCATCAAATCGCTGAATTCCGTGATGCAAGAATAGAAGTTAATGTAGTCAAGGTATAAGACAAATTTCGTAATACCTTGACCAATGTGAAGATGATTGAAAATAGGTTGAAATGTTTACGGCTTACAAAACTCATTTGTCAATACGATTACATTATCTTCTGTATCAAAAGCAAAGAAGATGTGTTGATAATCATATTTTGTTAAGACAGATATCATTTCTTAATATGATGAAAAATTTCCATTCTTCATCCTAATGATAGAGAACTAAAAATAATGCAGCCCAAATTGAAAGTTCGATAGAAAAAAAGGAAGCAACAACTATTTTTTTTACAAGGATAACTAAGGTCTGGAATGATTAGAAAGAAAGAGACAAACACGGACAATAACTTAGGTTCTGAAAGTGGCGGCTCCAGCTCCCCCCTTGACTGAGGGTACAAATTGGGGGCAGACTGACTAAATGAGTCGAGTCATATTCTCCAATCGAGTATCTGAGAGGGTTCCCCCAGGAAAAATTTTGAAAAATTGAATTGAATTAGTGCATTTCTGACGCGTATTTTGGAGAAAAATTATAAACATCGTATTGTATCGTATTGCCAGCTGGTCTTTCAAACCTCCTTTTTTAAATCTAGATAATGTGCTTAAATTAATTTATAAACAAAAATACTTACCAAAGTTTTGACAAACACAATTATAGAATAGTCTGGAACCGGCATTCTGGAATAATGGACTGAGCTGATAGGCTAGGGCTTGGTAATATATACATTCCGATTGTGTACAACCTAATGTTATAATAATATTAACGTTCAAAAATTTGAAACGCTTAGAAAATAAAAGCAACTAATCTACCTACCAATTGAAAATTAACAAATATCTATGAAAAAACTATAAAGATAATGATAATAATAATTATTAATTAGAGCAAATATATTCATTTGTATTCATCCAAATTTAATCGAAATAAATCGCATTGAATAATTTCTTTAAATAAATTCTTATTAGCAATTAGTTCATATTTATTCGTACAGAAGAGAAAACGACATGGTCTAAAGAGTTCGCCTTGGTGTAACCCTGTCCATATCTCTTAAATAAATCATTGTAAGCAATTTAATCACTTTGACGTTTGTACCAAATACCAATGGTCCAAAACATCAAATGCTTCGTGTTAATGAGAAATTGACTGTATTAGGAATTGGTATTCAAATGAAAATAGAATATATTCTTACCTTGGGCTCGAACACTGCAAAAATAGCATGCAATAAATAGAAAGATGGTCTTTATCACAGACATGCTGGAATCCGATCTAATCCTTGTTAATTTCAGTGTCTTTGTGATAATTCCTACATATATCCTTGAAGTCTTTGTTTACTTTTTGACGCTTTTGATGTAATTTATTCCCGGTTTTTTAATTTTTTAAATTTGACTCTCTGCCTTGATTCATTTTTTTAAAATTTCAATCAATGTTCTTATCCTGTTCAAATCCGGAAAATGTTCTGTTTTAAAGCGGAAATGACACATATGTTTTTAGTAAAACCCGTTTTGTATGTTCAGGATAGGGTCGTATGTAAATGAGAGACTTATATATAATTTTGAGGCGTTTTTAAGGTCAGGAGAAGCTATTGGTGATATGAGAAACATGACGTACACGTTATTACACAAAACACTTATATTTTATTAATTCAAAACCGGTTAGAACACATAAAAGTAAGACAATTTAAAGCGATGACTTCATCTTTGCACTGAGTACATCTTTCGGCTTTTTCGTGTGATGGTAGCGGAATATATTAAGTGACATATCAAATCTTAATTTTGCTTCTAGTCGAAATGGGCAAACATCATTTTCATATCAATTGGTAGAATTACATGAAAAATCCCGTAATGAAGCTATAAAAATTCTTCCCCATCAAAATTAAAAGTATAAGAAATACACTTAAAAATGTTTATATAATATACGGTTGAAGACTATTTCAAATTCTTGTTAGATTAAATCAAATGCTGAAAGAGATGATCTCTTGTGATGACCGATAATCGATCGATTCCTTGGACAACAATGGCAGTAAATAGGTCGTTTACATTCAAAATTAGGGATTAGGGGGTTTGAAAAGTAACAAGTTACTATTCAATATAAAGAACTGGCACAGGGTTAAAGTTATTAGGGGTTAATCGGCTTTGACCCGACACCTGGTCAATTAATCTCTATGTCACTATCTTAATTTCTTCTCTGACATTAGATTGTACAATAGAATAGATGAACGTAATGCGAGTTTAAGGTATTAGATGTAAAGGAAAGGATACAATGTGAGATATTGACTTAGTGAAATCTTCAAGTGATGTGGTGAATTCATAATGAATATTTCTTCACTCTTTCTAACCACTGTCAATAAAAAGATAATAATGATATAATGAAAGAAGATGATATTTTTTCTAATATTACTTCTTAGAATGATATTTTATAAGTACACAATGATTTAAAGCCAATATTTGGTTCAAGATTATTTTTGTTTTTTCACGATTCACATTTTTTGTCTCATCGTAATGACTGAATGAATATTTTCAAGACAAACTTAACGTTTTATATGTTTAAAGTTTTACCCACAAAGTGAGACATTAATTGCTGATTGTACAAATCAACTGTTTCATAGTCAGTAGAAAGAGGATTTGTAAATATTCATATCGGTACTTTCCAAATCAATTTGAGGTAATTTTCTACACATCTCAGATAATTTGCTTTCTGTAATTGCAGAATAATTTGTTTATTTTATTATTATTTAGTACAATAAATAGGGTATTACAATAAAATAAAATATTTGAAAGTAGTGCTCAATACATCAATTGTAGAACGATATAGTTATTGCGACAACAACATATTTCAATAATAAATAGCATCGTCCCCTTAGAAAATCATTGATAAATTTAATTCATAATATTACCTCCCTTGAACATGGGACAATGTTTGTGGTGGATATGATCACACATGCCGAAGCAGAATGAACATAAAATTCTTCCCACGATTCTTGGACGAACCAAGTCATACAAAAATCATATTCAACTAATCCCAAACATAACTTAATACAAAAAACGTGTAAATAATGACAGAGCTATCAAGACAAAATTTATTTATTTTAAAACTCGTTGTCAAACATCCTGTGTAGTTTTTCCGTTGATTTTGACTAAACTAAATAATATCCTGGTGACTTCAGGATTATCTTTCTTGCTGACGTTTACTTCTCTGTGTGAGTGATCCTTTGGTTAGGTAATAAGTGGAAAATTGACAAAACAGAAGTTACAATTATAGATGATTACATGCGTGTATTTTATTGGCGAAAGACTGTACTTGTTTGGCTTTTGATATGATCGACGTTTTCAATCTGATCAGAGAAAACTGACATCGTATAGCGCAGTAGTTATGAGCATCCATGTTAGATTTCCAACAATAAAAAGACAGTGAAGTATTTTTTTGTTAACGTATTTATTTATTTTTTTAATTGAGAATATTTCATCAATTCAGCATTTTCATGTCATTAATTGTCTAAAAGGGACAACCTTTTATGTTGCCTTTGGTGAGAAAGCCACTTGAGATGATGAAACATGGTTAGATTGTTGGTGAACGGTTTAAAGTCAAAGTTTTCCTTTGTGAAAACATTGTTACAGTTATAGATTAACAGTGAATTGCACAAGTAAACGTTTTTTGACATCGGTTTGATATTCCTATAAGTTCACTCAAGATAAATGGTTACCAACCACAATCGTGTAACAATTTGCTTCCAGGTTTTGTTTAAGATAATGGTTACCAAACGAGTTCAGTTGAAAGATGTAAGTGTGTATCTACGAATGTTTCTAGATAGTTCATCATTGTTGATCATTTCTTATATAGTTGACTGAAATGAGTTTCGTCAATCAACAATATTTTCACATGATTGCTACCCCTTTAGTACCAATATAACGTATATTTGGCATATTATTTAAAGTGGTTGTAAAGAGGGTTTCTAAATTATTTATGCGTATTGGGACACTGGTAGCATCAATTTGTAGAATTGCTAAAACCACAGACGTCTGATGAAAATTGAAATGGCGCAAATTGATGCTACTATTGTACTATTTAGAAAACCTCTTTACAATCCCTTTAAGAGCATAGTTTATTCAGAAAAGTACAAGTTGTTTAAAGAAAAACCTATTCTAGATTCAAAGTATTGTAAAAATAATCAATATTTAAATAAGAGATGTAAAAATACATCCTGTACCGACTGACTCTTTTCATAAATATTACTTTAAAACTATTTTTGTTTCTATTTAGCATATTAAGATAATTTGAATTTGAATAATCCACTGTTGAAAACTATCAGCTGGATTTGAGTTGAAGATTATATGGAAATTCTGAAAAAAAGAACGATTAAAATGTTGCAAATAGAAGCCTTTAGTACCCATGAAACCCCTTCAAGGTTTTCTTATTATCTTATCTATATAGAAGGCTTTATCATTTCAGAAAAGTGGATACATGTAATGGGATGAATACTGTGGCGCCGCCAACCTCTCAAGACTGTATTACTACTAGGGGACAGACTGGCTTAATGGGATACAACCGTCGTGATTCAAAATGCGGCAGCTCTGTGAAGTTCCGAGAGGGTTCTCCCAATAAATTTTTTTGAAAAAACGAATTGCTATGATGCATTCTGACACTGTTGATTATCATCGAAAACAAAATCATCCACTCAAAACGTGTACAGCCCTAACAATCTAATAGATAGAGACGATGACGTCGAAGCAAATACAGAGAGGTCTTTATTTTTATTATTTTAACATTTGCAATCATTTAGATAACACTCGATTCAGATGATCTGAACCAATGTACCTATAGTATATCTTATCAAGATTTATATTCTGTATAAATACATGGGGGATAACTTATGGGAGCTAATGGACTGGGTTGTATTTCATAAAACAATCTAAGGGACATTATTCCTTTATTATAATTTATAATAATTTAGATAAGAACAGTCTGTAACCAGCTCAATGAATTGAGAACGTTGGTATAAACGCCTGGGTAACCTGGCCGAGCACATCCATTACCAAACGATATGACTCCAGCTAAAACCCACAGTTCACCATCAGCACACATTAATGGTCCACCAGAATCACCCTGTAAAAAGTAAAAATATTTTGTTATTCCTGATAAAATATATAATGAACAACATGAGAAAGTTTGGATTGTCTTATTGTTACTCTTGAAGAGTTAAGCCAATCAGTTCGAAATCGTCAGTCGTATTTTCTTTACCAGTCGTCGTCGAGAGTCCAAAAGAGAAGGTGTCCTATACTGATTTTGAATCAACAATCAAACATGAAACGTGTAGTATCAGACTCTTGGTGCCATTTTGCATCATAAATTAAATACATATCTTTGAAAGTTCCTCTATTGAACAGTTAGCTGAATACATTCAAGTATGTTCTGCATAATATATGTAATATACATACAATTATTGAATAGCACATTGCTTTATTTGCATAGCAGATTCACTTGTGAATGACTTCGGGGTCTGGTTCAATGATGAGTTTCCTATACACAAATAATGCGGATGGTGATCATGACCTGCAGTTGTAACTCTCTGCTAATTTATGTGATTTGTATCGTTGGTTTCGTAAATGGGGCGTTCACCATGGCGACACTCGTGTTGGTCTTTGGGTGGTCGCTGCATTCGGAAAACGGACAGGTTGGTATCTATGGGTGTTTTATTTTTATGTTTTTGATAACCAAAGGAATGTTTTGCACGTGCATCATGTTTTTCATAAAGAGACATCACGAAGTTTCTTCTGTGATTCAGTGTATCATAAATGTGAGTACCAAATGCGGTATTCGAACTTAAAAAGAAGAATATTCTCACCTCACAGGAGTCGATTCCTCCCTGCAGGTAGCCAGCACATATTTTGTTTCCATCCATTAAATTCCCATAAGCGCTACATGATGCTTGTCTGAGGATCGGTATGATGGCTTCTTGTAGAATTGTAGGTTGTGTGCTTAAAGCTGCATCTGTAATAGTTGAGTGTCTAAATACTGACACGGAAGATTGCCAATAATGATGATGCCCCTATGCTGCTAATGATGATGCACCGAGACCGTTGATGATGATGATGATGTGTTCCATGCTTAACAAGTAATAAAGATTTAACTTTGTGTGTGTTTTATATCACATGTACACAAGAACACTGATGCGCATGTATTCTGAGATATCCCAGTACTATCAATCAAGAGAAGCAGCCTACTGTAATGTTCTCAAGCCATAGACGTCTATTACAGCTGCTTGATCTTAATAGGTTAGAAGTGGAATCAAAATATATATAAAAGAATATTCCATGTTATATTACCTGAAGTTACTCCCCAGCCGGAAGCTAGACAACGTACACCAGTGGAGATATTAAGACTGGGTGACGGTAGACAAGCTGGTTGAACACAAACACTAAACTCCAGCTCCTCTGCTAGTGTTATAACAGCAATATCATTCCCTAAAACGAGGATCAATAATGATGAATCTATTTTCTAGGAAGATTTCACTGTGTAACAATAGAATTCTGTAAAACGAGGAAAGATCATAATGATAAATCTATTTTCTAGGAAGATTTCACTGTGTAACAATAGAATTCTGTAAAACGAGGAAAGATCATAATAATAAATCTATTTTCTAGGAAGATTTCACTGTGTAACAATAGAATTCTGTAAAACGAGGAAAAGATCATACTGATAAATCTAATATGAAAAACAAAATATCGAACATTTCCGAAATCGCTTCAAATTAATGATTAAAATATAGGTCGTAGAACTACAAACAGTGGTTCAACTACCACTAAGCCCCCCAACGCCCCCCCCCCCCCCCACCCCAAATCATCTAATTGGGCCACTGACTACTACCACAAGTTAATGCTGCTGCTATTGCTTAGAGGATTAGAAAAGATATACGCTTATAGTTTCTACTTACTTCTGGTTGGTGGGTCATATAATGGGTGCTGATCTATTTTGGATACTCTGTAATTCTGCAATCTCTCTCTGGATGAGGATCCGGCACTAACTATTACTACATTCACCGAGGAGAAGCTGTAATGGATAGAAAATATAAATTGGTTAAAATGAATACAAGCGAAAGAAACATGTAAACCTCTGCCACATTATAATCTCTTATGTCTTACGTATTTCCTCCATGTCGTTTTAGTGGAATGTCTCCATTATATGCGATAGGACGCCATCTATCAGTGCTGGTAAGAATCAGTTATGATAGTAAACCAAACCAAAGTACATGTAGGTTGTAACGAAAAAGAGACGATACCCTAAACACAGGACAGAATTACTTTAAATGAACATACTAGACGCAATGGGCTGCGGTGATGACATGTTTGTTATCAACTAATGTTCCTCCACAGTTCCCCTTTGGAGTCCTGATATACACCTGCCATGGATACTGACACTCCTTTACTTCTTGTCCACCAATAATACGACCCAATGGCTTATTCAGATACCTCGAAGCTCCACCGACTACAGCACTTCTTCCACAATCTATAAATAGATTTATTTCATTGGTCATTATTACTTGGCTAAATGACTATTTAGTTATGAATTATTTCCCTTGAATTAAAAAAAAATTCCTAGTTAGTAGTTCTCTTGTTTACATACAGTACTTTGTGTGTCTCATATTTCTCAAGTAAAACAAATTTATGAAAGATGTATACTTTGTGTTGTTTTAATTTATCAATATATTTTTTTTAATATTCTTTTAAATATTAAATTTTTCCTTGACAGAGAGTTATCCCCCTTTAGCATAGATTGAGGTATTTCCCCTTGACAAAAGAATATGTAAGTCAATTGATAGATACAAAATATAAGATCTACTTGAATAAAGAAATGTAAAGATATTTACTAGTAATTGGTGTAGATGGTGTGGTAGACGGTAAACTTAATCCTGAAAAGAAAATATGAAATGTATATCAAATTATAACCAAAGTTAAGTATAATAGGCTAATGAGAAGTTTTTGAAAAATAACCCATCAAATCACCTCAAATCGCTTTTGTTTTTCCGCGCTAAATTATCATATTTGTTTCTCTTCAACATCTGTATAAAAATTCTTACCGACAAAACCTCGATTCTTTTTTGTCTTTTCTGTTTCGACTCCCAAGAATCGGTGAAATTGAGAGGTAATGTGTTAAGCTGTATGGTTATGATTCCTGACAAAAAAAAATTTGACAACCCACCCATTCCATTACTGCATCTAAACACCATACACCATTGCCCCTTCAGGTATATTACTCCGAACAATCAAGTCTGGCTAACGGCCTGCTTTGAACATTGGCTCCGTACAATAATGTCTGTGGTGGATTTTGCTGATGGTGCCGGATGTGCTCAGAATGCCAGTCTGAATTGTGTCACCTTGACACCCCTTTACTTAAGCAAGTCTACCTAGCTAATCATGTTTTTTTAAATTCTATAACGAGAGAGCAATCCAGCTTAAACAACTTACCAAAACGATCACAAGTGCATTCTCCGAACAGATCAAAACCATTCTTTTGGTATATCTGGCTTTTGATTTTGGCTATAACTGTCAGAAAAACGCAGGTTCTCCTGCTGCATTCTGTAAAAAAAATTTACGTATTGAGACTGTTGTCGAGCAATATTTTAGGCAAAACAGATAATGCATTTTACATGCAAAAAACGATTGAACACTTTTATAGAAAACATCAGCCTGTTGAGTTATTATTTTCATAATTTGTATAAACTGAGACATTATGGTATTATGGTACATTCCTGGTATAATGCATCTGGCTGGAGATTATAATATGCAGTAAATATTTTATTTTGATGGTGAAAGATAGAAGATATCTTATTGCATACCGCAATGTGTTATTTTTAATTTGCTTGCACAAAAGCAAACAGATAGTTATCAGGTAATTTTGTTTTAACTCACCTATGGCCTCGGTCAAAGTTCCAGACAATAATAGAAACAAAAACACAGTCCTAATCAGTGCACCATCCAATTTCACCATCTTGTTATTTTCAATTGCTCTAATGATTTTTGGTAAAATTCTGATAAAAATGAGTCGATGAATGGATGAATAATGTTAACCGATCCTTTGATAAACAGAGACCTTTAAATGTAAGTTTGTATTTAGGGCCACGTTTGTCAGTCTTAACAATAGATCGTCTTTAACATGTCCTTATCTCCCCTGTTTAAATATTGAAACGAAATTCAAGTGTTCGTTTTATTGACCACATGAAGACATCCAATAGGGAATTATATTAGTACCTCGTCAATTTATTTTAAAATCGTTGTTGCTCATGTAAACATGATATTTAATTGCTATAGATATGCATTATACCGGTTTTGGGGTACACTTAACACATGCTTCTAAACATGCTCAGAGGTTTTGGGGGACACTTGTGGATTCTATATATGTGGACCATTTAGATTCCCCGTATACAGTGTATTCTTATCAAACAATCAAATGAAACTGGATATCATTCAAGAATTTTCTCGGATTTGTAAAAGAAGCATGTAACTCTCGAAGGATTGGTAATGAAAATAGCATAGAAAAAAATTCTCTGTAGCCTTGATTATCAATGATTGACTTATGTGGGCGTGGTATACAGCTGCGGAACGGTCTTCTTAAAATGGAAATAGGAGATGAAAAGAGAAAATCACTTTTCGACACTTAATTGTTCTGTTGGAAAATAATTGATGAATTCCAGAATTTTATAAGAATAACATTCTAAGCTATGTTTCATTCAAAGCCTTATTTGAAGGTTTATCTTTAGTGGTATGAAAATTTTAAGTTCATCGCATAACAAGACCCATAGAATTTATTAAAATCTGTCCCAATTTTGAGTCTTCTTTACCAAAACTCAGATAACATAGGGTTATTTTGAAAATTCCAATAAGGGGTAGATGAAGAAGAATTATTTTGAATTTGAAATCAACGATACAGGCTCGTTTATACATTAACTGCGAATATATCAAATATCATACGAAATCATGGTGAACAGATTAACGATTAAACAATAATCCCCAGTTAATCCAGTAAACAGTTGGCTGTATCTAAACAACCAGGACACAATGTTCTGAATCCTAACAACGATCTAGACCTATAAATACAGCTCCGAAATTATCAATCTTCACAATTCAATTGTCCTCAATCGAGCAGAATCAACCTTGTGAAGCTTCCGAGAACACTAATTTATTCTCATTAATTAAACATGGAAAATTTGGATTTGGTAAACCGTGATCCTAACAATATCAATGATCATCTTGGGGTAGGTAATGCTTTCTGCAAATTGGTTCTCAGAATTTAGGAGCATCCGTGGCTCAGTGAGTTAGACGTTTGAAGGTCCAGGGTTTAATTCCGGCATAGATGAAAAAGAATCGAGTCGTTTCGGATGTGACAATAAACAGAGGCCCTGTATTCTGGCTAGGACCCCAGTTGGAAATTGAAGAAGAGTACAGTAGTGCCGCGGTCTGTTTGGTTTTGTCCGTCTTTATAAGGCTTTATTAGATGCAGAAAAGTAGGACATGAAACTCCATTTATTTGATTATTTGATTTGTTAATTGACTTCATGAAATGGTTATTAGTCCGTATATGACACCGTGACGCCATACAGACCTAATATATGGACTTCTGGATAAAAATTTTATCTTCATCTTTGATACCATATTTCAGATTTTTAAGATTATTTGTTTAATTTAGGTTGAATTTGAAGATATTCTGGCTGAACCTGATGGTGCTCACAGTGTCGATTGTGTTTGGAAAGCCTCTTATTGCTGTTTCAACTTCTGGAAGAATTTTTGGTATAAATTAGCTACTTTATGTTGTGGTATCTGTATAGCTGCTGAATGGGGTTGTGAATTTGCTACTATTGCCTTCACTCATGTTTGGTTTATCACTCCCTTATTTAAGGTATTGGAAATAGAATGTGCCTGCTTGAAGAAACTTTATGGACTGTGTGTCCATTGTTGTCTAGATCCCTGCTGTGAATCACTTGGTCTAATGTTCAGTGCCTTTAAGAAGGAATAACAATATGATAAATTTCTGCCTCCGTGAATTTCTGTAAATTGCTCTGAAAATCCTGTCTATTTTAATTCAATCTTTTAAAAAATGCCTTTTGATTTTTTTGTACCCGTATGGAATTAACTTGTAGAATTTGTAAATTGAATTTGTAAATTGAATTTGTAAATTGAATTTGTAAATTGAATTTGTAAATTGAATTTGTATATATCTGAAATAAATTATTTTGTCTATTCATTCATTTATTTCATTTATTTATTTATTTATTTATTTGAATTATTTCAACTCTTAAATTATTATTTGATTCAAGATGAAATGTAAGAGATCTTGTTTGATATTATAAATCCTGTCGGCGACACACGAGATTTTACTCAAGATTCGAATCGGCGACAAAAAAATCCGACCAAGACCACTCGTGTGCACGCACCTTAAAACTGCAATTTAGCTATCTATATCACTGTCATCCGAAATCAATTTTCAGAAAATGATTTTGACACTTTCGGCGCATTTCCTCTCAACCAATCTGCTACTTACATCTTATGCAGAATTTTTTTGTAAATCAAACTTAGAATATAAATTTAATTTCCATTAAGATCTATTTAACTATATTCGAAATTGGTGTTTTCGGCTATTCAATCTGAAAAATACTAAAAGTGGCTTGAATTCACTTCTATGAATTGCTTGAATGAATAATCAAAGAATAATGGGTGGATATGTTTTAACCAGTCCCTATGATAGTTTGACAACTGTATGAAATCAAGGATACCGCGACATGAAGGCAACTTGTCTAAAATCGCAATCCATAAGTAAAATTAAACAAGTCTTTAAAATTAAATTCAAGCTGGTTTTATACGCCCACACCGATAAGAACATTCATCTTGGCCAAACAAAAATAACGCTTAAATATGGAATTGTTTCAAGCTCAAGGGAGATAATTTGATTAAACTAAACCCATCATCAATAAAACCCAGTGGCTCAACTACAATAGGGACTGGTTGAACCAAGTTAACGGGACCCGACCCCCAGAGAAGAGTCTGACCTAGCTTTGACCCCCACCCCGACGTTCAATTGAACATAATGAAACAATTGCCTGAGCCTCCCTTGTGGCTCTTCATCGGTCCCATCACCTTATGTATCCTAGAAACGCCACTGCATTAGTCTTGAGAAGGAAATAACTAAATAAATGTGAAAACGAAACTCAATGATATAAGGATGGTCTTCAGATATCCGTCTATATATGATATAGGTTCAGAACTGTTTATCAAAAAATAAAATTTCGGAACAACCCGTGACGGTCACGTTCAGGCTATGATGTATAATTGTATCAATTAACACCAATCAGTGTCATTCGAAAAATTTAAAACAAATAATAGCCATACGAATCTAAATTGAAATATCATACGTAGTTATGTAAGTATGGTGACGTTCCACAATTCGTCTAAGTCTACATAAATATTATAATGGACCATCTTGCTTTGAAATTGACCAGTTTTCTCCAAGTTTTTTGATTATTCAAAAGAAAATACTATTTTATTGTCAATGGGGAAAGGGTAAAAGGGATGCGTTTTGTAAAGATTAAAACTGCCATAGAATCTTCAGCTGTTTTCATGTTGGGTCAAATGCCACATCGATGTTAAATGAAAAATAAAACTGTATTATTCAGTTTTGTTTAAGGCACTGTCTCGAGAACTTTGAAAGGGCATACGCTGTGATATAATTGTATTATTCAGTAGTGGTTTTCATTGAAATCAGAAAGATAGTACCTATTCGATCTGGAATAACACGTTTATAGTTAAAACACATTACAAACATTTTAACCTGTGATATCATAATGATAGTGTTAATTTTTAGAAATTAAAGATGTTACTATAGAAACCTGTAAATTATATTATTATTCTTGAAGAGGTGTCGTAAACTTCCTTTTTTGACTCTGTTAATATGACGGTTGTACGTAAAGAGTGTGTCTTTTACTCTCGATTACCAAGTTGTATTTGAGCTGGAACCCCTTAGTTCAAGAGAGTCTAGTCACACCACCTGTAGCCGAGAGCGAAGAGTCAAAGTCAGATTTTGTCGAAGTTTTTAGTCGAACGTACAAAACACCGTCCACCATGAAAAAAAGTAAGGATTATCTTATTTTATTTTAAAATAATTGATCATTATGTATAGAGGAATCTTTCCTAGAGTAAGAAGAATCTTCAGGAAATGAAAACATTATTATATAGTTTTAATATGTAGAATTCATGACGTCATAAAACCTGCTATTGTCATTGGCCCCGTTTATAAAAAACCTTACGATAAGAATTTGTCGTTAGACTATAAATTTACATTAACAAAAATCATACTTTAGTCAAGATTGATTTTTTCAATTTTTTTGTGACCATGGTGATCTTTTCAAATTCTATATTAAAGGCATTGCATTACTTTCTACAATGTAGGAGAGTTATGTATAAGCATTCTTGGCACTGCATTGTATATTGTTCTTTATTTCAGCAAAGAAAACTCGAGTTGCTCCACGAGAACGGACTGAGAAGTTCTCTATTCCGAGTCTGTCGAGTTTCGAACTGAACACTGCTATGAACGATGTTCTGAGTACCATTAGACCTGGTGTTTTTAGATGTAACGAGGGATTCTGTAGAGGTACGAATCTTTATATATCAGTCTTGTTTTGTCTATGCAATGAAATGAAACGTTGTTTACCACTAGTTCAATGAAATATCATTAAATCTGCACAATAAAAACTGTATCGTATCATTTAGCACGGTAACGTCACGTTCAGTCATAAATACTTACAGAATCAATGCTTTGATGGATTAGTGGGTTCGTCATATTTTTTGTCAAACTTGCCATAGTTGATCCTTAATTAGCCACCATGCATTGATGAAATAATCGTGTATTCCAGAAAACCATGTATCCTCGAGTGGTAAGAAGACTCAGTTGGTAAAGATGGTATCTATTGTGATGATACCAGTAGCTGTACTAACAGGACTAACAGCTAATACGTTTGTTAATACCTTCACCAGCTACATGTCATCTGGCATTAGGAAGACTATTCTCTACAGCGTTGAGTTGGGTCAAGTGGTACACAGTTTACAGAAAGAAAGAGACATGAGTGCTCTGTATATCAGTAAAATCTCGCCGGTTTCTAAATCGTTTCTACTGCAGAGATATCCAGAGACAGATCGCTCCATTGAGAAACTCACATTTTGGACAACGCTGTCCAGATTTGAATTTCAGTCGAAGGACAAGTTCTTGTCTTATCTCAATCGGCACAGGTAAGCCATGTTTTTAGTCAAGGTGATAGTGTAATGAAGCTAATGCCTAACTTAATGAAACGGCGGCAAAGATGTGTTTTTCCTTAATAATGTATTTTAAATCAACCAAGACACCTCTTGCACCATTTTAACTCGGGTTGATATATATGATATATATATATATATATATATATATATATATATGGAAGGGCATCGTATAGAAAATAATAGGAATGCCAAAATAGGGTGCAGATTATCTGGTCATATTTCTTTATTTTTCCAGACAAAGTCAAATGTTTATGGTCACATACTCATATACAATTTGTAATCAACTATTCATTTTAGGTATGAATTGGATACTTTAAATCAAACGGTTACCATGGAGTTACAGATGTATACAACATTAATCCGTGTATTTATCAAGTGGCTGTATGACACAATGACAGAAGAAGAATCGGGGTTTATTTGGAGAAGTTTGGTGTCGTATCTGGAAGTTATTATTGTGAAAGAATATATGGGTCTTGAACGTGCTCTGGGCATGGTATTCTATGCTAAGGGTCGTTTTCCGTCTCGCAACGTGTATCTTTGGTTCTCGGAAAGTCAAGATGTATCGAATGCAACTTTTCTGTCAGCACGGCGTTACTCTGATCTGGTTGATACTCTTTACAATAAAAATATCAAGGTTAGTTAGATAACGAGTGCAATACACACCAATACACAGTGACGCTTCTCGGAGGAGAAGTCACCGAATTGTTGTCATTGGGAGGAGGGGGTCTCGAAGGCAATTCTTCCACTATGTAATTTGACTAGAAATTCGAAAGGGAGAGAGGAGGTTGGAGGCATGTCGTACCAATCCCCCCATCGTGGACTAGAAACGCCATTTCCTACACATTTATTGATTGTAGTGTCGGTTCTGTCGTTCTATTTCTGGGAAAGAGAGACTGTCAGCCCCAGATTCCCATTAATAAATTACATACACCCAAAAGAAGAATAGGTTGGTTCATCATTTGTAACAGCACCTCTTTGTTGCCCAAAAGAAGTATAGGTTTAGATACACAAATAATGGACAGTACCATTCGCATCAGACAGTAGTTGATTTGTTCAGGTGATCTGAAGCATGGGCTGGTGCTAAACCGGAAACCTTCCGAATAACAAAATGTTGTTTTTTTGTAATTTTGAAATTTATGTTTTCAGGGAAACGAAACAACATTAAAAGTTTTAGGTAATATGCGAGCTGAGATTAGACGTAATGAATTAGGTGGTAAGGGATCAATTCGAATGGCTGAATGGTGGTACAACAACATGACCGTTTATATGGATCTATTATTAGAAACACAATCAGAATTGGCCCAGGAGATCACGGGGTTGTTGGATCAAAGGCAGTCAGTGAATCTACAGAAACTCATTGCTATATCAGTGGTTTTCGTTTGTGTTTTTGTATTTTGTCCGATTATTATCTACGCTGCTTACAAACTCACTAACGAAATACAGAAATATTCCATTTCACTCACTGAAAGGTTTGTAAAATTTTCATTTCAATTTTCGTTATTATTTATTTTCTTTTCCTTTTAAGATTTGAACTATTTGAAACAGTAATTTTTGTCAAATTTAAATGTTAATAATGAGTAGGGTGATTTGAATGTGGTTGGTATACTTCACAGGGCGAAACTAAAGATGTATAAACTCGACATTTTTCAGGACAAAAGCTCTGTGTAAAGAGAAGAAACGAACATTGGTATTATTAAATCAGATGTTACCCAAACACATAGCCACTACAGTTGTACAGGATGAACCTGTCACGCCAGAGAAATTTGATAGTATTACAGTATTAGTCTCGAATATACAAGGCTTCACTCAATTAGCTTCTAGAAGTTCTCCAACACAGGTGGTCGAGATGCTGATGAGTCTCAATGAACTTTTTGAGAGTCGAATAGAGAAATATGATGTTCATAAAATAGAGAGACAAGGTGATGCTCATATGGTGGTTTCAGGTGGGTAACATTTAATATGTCCTCATTTTTCAATCAATTTTTGAAAAGGTTCATCCAGGCTCGAAGCTATCCTGAAAAAATGGATTGACAACACACTGACCAATTCCATTACTGCATCTAAATTACCCATACACCGTTGACCCTGCGGATATAATACATATTATATATTATATAACAATAAAGTCTGTCTACGGGCCTGTATTCAACTGAAACGTCTTTGAGCTTAAAAATATCAATTTGGCAGTGTCCAGTTGTAAAATAATTCTTGATATTTTAACTTTCAGGTTTGCCTATCAGAAATGGTGTACAGCATGCCTCTGAAATCAGTTTGATGGCACTAGATCTGACAGATTCTGTTAATCATTTGAAAATTCCACATCTTCCTGGAACCAAATTAAAACTCAGAATTGGTATTCACAGTGGTAGGTATGAGTTCTGAGTCGAAGTACCATTCTGCATAGTAGTACCATCAATGGCATTTATACGGAATAGAGGAGGGGTGGGAGGGGGACATGATTTTAAATGAGGGCTCAGAGGCTTCTCTTTACAATTGCAAAATGATAGTCGAATCAGCCTTTAAAGTCTTCCCATTAGATATCTCATATCATTCTGGAGTCCTTTCCACCAAACGTTTTAAAAACGGTTTTTACTAGTATACATTGCAACATCAAATCTTCCCTTTGCAACATCAAATCTTCCCTTTGCAACATCAAATCTTCCCTTGCCTGAACTTCGCCTTATCAAAGTAGACCCATAGACTGGTATTCACTGTTCAAGTTCAATAATATTTTTAGCTATTCAGGATTTGGTACATTGTAATTTAATAATTTCAGGTCCAGTTGTAGCAGGAATTGTTGGGACCAGTTTACCACGCTTTAGTTTAATAGGAGATACTATTACTGTCGCTACGAGGATGGAAGTACTTGGAAAAGGTTAGCAATAATTCGTTATTTCTCATATAAAATTTATAGTATGTTTGTGATTATATGATTCGTCGATCACGGTGATCGAGGCTATACTAGCGGTCCCGGACATCAAGATACTAAGAACAAGTTTGACTTGTCACCATAATTGTGAATAATATTATCTCTAGGTGCGAAAAGGTTCCAAGACGTGATGAAGCTTCAAATTTAGTCTTAATTTAGCAAGAGTTTGCAATCATTCTCCTTGATACGCGTAAAAAGTTGAGAAAACCTCTGTACCATCACTGTTACGGTTCAAGCTTTAGTCTTTATGAATGCAGAGTTGTGGGAGACCTTGGTCTTGCGTTTCTAGTTAAATTATCATAGTATTACTATATTTCAGCTGATCGTGTTCATATCAGTTCAGCAACACACGAACTCCTGGCGGCGCTCGCTGGTTTTACAACACAAATAAGAAATGATTTTATCTGTAAGGTAAGTATATTTAGATTGTTTAATGTATTTAATATACATTTCTAATGAATCAATTTCAGTGGCGCTTCTACCAGAAGGTGAGGGACATGTACCTGTCTAGAACTAAACCTTTACCCCCATTCCTTTTAGCATTGGCCCCTTTTCGCCTCCACCTCCCTCCCCAAACCGCATAATTTATAGAAACGCCATTGTTCCAACACTACATATTGCTTCACATATTTATGTACCTTTTCAGCAAGATAAAGAACTTGTAGATATCCTGACAACAGAAGAAATTAAAACTTACTGGTTGATAAATCACGTGAGCCGTATTACATCGACGAGACATAGCACATCTTCGCTATCTGGAGACGAAATTTCAGAGATACTCAATACCTCAGATGATAGTGATGGTCTGATGAAAGCACAGAAACGTCGAGATACAGGTCTGGAGGACGATGATGAAGACGGTAAGAAATCTACATCAAATTTTCAAAATTAAATCGCAAGCTATAAACATTATACAAGATACTCTCATACAGAAACACTGGCCAAGGTCGCAATAAAATGGTCAAAAATACAAACATTTCAACCCAAGCAGGAGGTGATTATGTATAGTAAACATAAGAATAAGTGTCCCGCCATTTTCATTTACCAATAGTAATTGGATCGATATACAGGCATGGTGAAATTGTTTTCTAGAGGTGAAAACGATAAATAGTTGAATCTTGGCATATTATGAAAGCTCTATAGTTAATATTAATACAAACAGAGGAGATGGCCCTTAACAGCCTTGCATAATGCAGGCTACCTAAGTCGTATCAGCATAAATTTTATACAGCATCTTATCATGCTTCATGTATCTGTGGACAAATTTTGTTAAGGTTAGCATTAATGGTAATTAATTTTAATTGTAGATGCTTATAGAAGATATCTCAGATCCAATATTGCATAATTCCATAACAACTCAATGTCACGTCTCTCAAAATGAATTATGGGTAAATGTGACAATAGGTACATCGTGTGATACCCATGTGATTATGTATCTATGTTTACTCTTCTGTATAAACATATTTAGATGTCTTTTAATCTGGAATGGCCCGTCGGGACTAACCTGGTTGGGCGCCTTGAAAATATCAAAGGAACAAATCTTGTTTGAACAAGAGAAACACTTTTTCGTTTCATTGGAGCTTAAAGAAGATCCTTGAATTTGACAACAACACATTGGAGTCAAGTTCATATGAAACGAACCCTAGGCAATATAAAACGAACCGAGGCCGCTAATAAAATATAAACAAAATCACATGGTGTATCGCAGGATTCTGCCTTCAAAACGAATAGAAGTTTTTAGAGCTAAATTTCGTTTGTTAATATTCTTCCAGAAATTAAATCCACAGTTTCTTCAAAAACAGCCTTTAAACTAAGAAACGATGCAGCAATTGAATTAAATTAGTCTAGTAACCAATAAAGAATTGTTCTCTACGCATGATAGAACTTACTTTAAACTTTTAAAGTTACATATAACGTGTGAAAATTCGAAATAGAGGGAAAATCGTGACGATCACAATAATGGCTTAAACTGTCTGCGACATATGCAGCTTTAGGGAACTGTCGGGGATGGCCGAATAGCCGAATAACAATGAATCGGACAAGGCTTTTATTTAATTCTTACGAGAATAAAACATCCATTATACTACACTGAACGGAAATTTCTACAAAGTTTACTTCCCTTTAAATATAACTTTAGTTATATTGTTTGGCTTAAGTTTGTGACTAAATTGTAATAAATTGTATTAAAAATATATCATTGTTATACATTAATATACAATTCACCTCACAGTAAGTGGCAGGACCAGGACAACTAAAGAGATATAGTTTATGGAAATATGTGTCAGAAAGCACTGAATCAATGTGATTTTTCAAAATATTTCTTTTGGAAAACTTTATGGCGCTTTCACAGAGCTTCCGCAACTGGAATCGCAACCGTTGGTCATTGATTGCGTTAACTGTCTTCATTGATTTAATAAAGGGAAGAAGAGAAGGATGTATGGTAGCTTTTATTTAAGCAGAAGCAGTGGTTGTAACCATGAGATTAGCAGGAAGTTTATAAGTTAACTCATAGATAGCTTTACCAACACATTCAGCAGCTGCGAGGGGATCGTGATGATGGGTAACAGACTCCCAGGGTCGTTCTCGGTGTAAACCATCATTATCTTTGATGTGCTTGATAATATCATCCTAGATAAAGAAAAATATAACATGATTTAGAACCTAACATTTCACAATAACAATTTGACTGAAAGCTCGTAATGTTCTTAGTTGGTCAAATAGAACTTAATTACCTCGACGCTTTCTCTAGTCTCTTTATTATGGTATGTTTCAGCAACTTCCATGGTGGTGTCTTCAACAATATAACAATGTCTTCTATCTCGGACTAATAATAGATGCTGGAAACAGATGGATTCACAGTTTTGATACATGTTTATTCATTACATATAGCAATCACATCCGTATATCAAGTCTTGGGATTTTGGTTGGGTCAGATTTGTTTGCTTATGTACGTTACAAGTAACGCCAAACGTCGCAATAATTTAGCTTTTTTTCTCTTGCAAGCAATTTGTCAACCTGCATTAAAATGGAGTGATGCGCCATTCTTTTGACCAATCATACTTTAGTCTCAGAAACGAATGTTTTTCTTAGTTAAGCCAATCAGTAATAGTGTTCACAGCGAGTCGTCATTTTAAGATACTTTGTGATATATAGAAAATATAGAAATAGTGAGTAAAATTCCTAATTTAAATTATTTTAAGGGTTTATGCGATTTTCGTTTATTTCTACTTCTTCTGAAGACCATTTACGTATATTCGAGACTCAAATCAACCCCCCAAAATGGTGCAACTGTCCCTTTAAACACTAGACCAGAATACCAAATCAAAAAAGATACTTACGTGTCTGTTGTGATATTCAAATGTGTAACCAGCATGTCGGTCACTTTCATGTCCATTCCACCAGTTGAAGGGGAAGATTTGTGCCTAGAAATTATATAATACATGAATAAAATTGACCATTGCAAACGTTTACAATGTGGATGTAGTATGGCATGGGTTACTAACAAAAAAAAAGCCCAAAAGGCACTATGAAAAAAGCATTATGAAGGGGGTGTTACGTCGGTGCTAAAATGTCATAAAGTAAAACTTGGAAGTTAAGTTTAAGAAAAATGAAATTATAACTCATAAAAAACACGGACCTTGATCTGGAGCATGAACTAATTATTACAAAGTGCTGATAAACGTAGTAGAGATATATTACTTTTTAGAATGAACAGAAGAATAAGATAAACATCAATGAGTAGTACTGACTTGTCATGTGCAATCAGAGAGAAAAAGGTGAATTTAATTTTGTTATAGACTTACCGCGGCTACGACAACAAGACAAGCTAGAATAACAGATTGCATGATAGAGCTTCTGCGACTTCAAATGAAAAAGTGAATCGTGGAAAGACAACAGTGGAGTTTTATCTGGCGGTCATCTGTTCCGATACCCATAACATCACGTGATTTTAATGCATATGGTGAAAGATAAGTGACCATCCTTTACATAAAGTCCAACATACAGTACCATAGTACATGATACACAAAAGTTAGGAAGTAGGACGAATGTCATTTAACGTGCCAGAATCTAACCCTTCGTGTCCACCTTATCATAAACAAAGGCAAGGGATATATCCGTCGATATATTAGTCATTTCAGTTAATTTGATTGCTAAAAGATCTAAACCCATTGATATTTAATAGCATAAACAACATTGGATTTTCATTTTCAAAATAATTCAAATGACCTTCAACACTTATAAAGCTTATTTCCACAGTCTTTCATTCCTTGGTCTTTGCTAAATACTGGACTAGCACAGACCTGAAAAGTTTTAGTTGTCACATACAGAAGCAGAAAAATTGATCAGCACTTGGTTATGGTGTTTATTGTAACAAGGGAGATAACAAAGTTATACATCTCAATTAAACCCACGATAAATATAATGTATTGTAAAAGGTGTCGAGACTGTTAAAAAATGTTATTTGCTGACAAGGCAGGGAGATTTTATGATATTTAAAATCCCACTTCCCGCAGGATTCTTCGAGTAACCATCGTGCTCTATAGCTCATAAATCCAGATATTCTCGGGAGGAGACAAAGGGGTGCAACTCGCACCTACAAACGTGGTCAATTCAGTCGAAGACCAGTGAGCTAGACTTTATATTTGATAAGGCCTTCTGGTGTCAATAATCATATAGATAATATTCCTGGGATTAAAAGTATATGATGTATCTAATGTATCTCTGTATGTAATCCCTGGGATGTAATATAAAAGGCATTTTATGAGATACACCAGATCAATGGGGTAACGTCAACAGAGGTATAATAATGGAACGCTGTAACTTTAAACTAGTAAATGATTATGTTATGGGGGGGAATAATGGTACGTAGAAGGTGTGAAAAATATGCATATGATAAAGGACACACCATTGCATAAGATATTTGCTCCCAAAATCTAAAAATTGGACCAAAGAAACGTCAATTTAATGTCGTCTCTATCAGTACTATTTTGAAGTTTACATAGAAATTATCAGTCAAGTATGATTTAATGAGTAAAGTTAGCAGAGACTGTGACGTCAAGCTGTGCTCCCCTAACGATATATTTCAAAATGAAACAGTGGTTATTAAGTCCCCATACAGACATATATTCATATTTTTCTAACAGTTTATTTTCATAAAAATAGTGCAATATATGAATTTCATCAAGTGAAAAATAAACTATTTACAAATTATATTATCCACAATCCGACTATAATGCAGATTTAGATGGTTCGTTGAGTATTTCCCATGTCATCGACGAGTTGAAAAATTTTCCTTATTATCCTAATTTTTTGTTAAAATAATCTAACATTTAATGTTTAAAAAAGAACATCACGATGGCTCACATACGACATATTTCACTTTTTATTTTGAATTAAAAACTTTGATTTGTTACCTAGGTCACATGTTGACGTTCTTTACAAGATGGAGACTGGTCCATATGACATATTAACTTAATAGGTAGACATTATTTTCACCTGGGTGAAAATTAAAATTTTTAATTTAAATAAAAAGTGAAATATGTCGTATGTAAGCCACCGTATTTCCCAATCATTAGGTCATTTTTTTTAATTTTCTTTTATAGAGAATTTGGATAACATGTGTTATCTTACAATTTTGTGAGATCAAAGATCAAGTGCTGTTTATCACAGGAAAATACAAAACGAAACATTCAGATCTGCATTTGAACCAGATTGTTTTATCAAAACACTATAAGATTCCTTCTATTTCATATGCCCTACAGATAGCAACTAATCTTAACCTTAAAAAGATTGTACAGATAGTTTCTAATCTTTTTATGACGTCAGTGGAACCTGCAATTGCAGTACTTGCAATACTGGACGTCATTATCTCAAAATCTCATTAAATTACATAAGGTCTATTTGCCTATTTGTCATAAAAGACCTAGTTTTAGTGGAATTTCGGGAACTAAAGACATCCAACTGAAAATTGAAATAGTGCAAATTGATGCCAACAGTGTCGCTGATACACATTTAAAGTTTAGAAAATCTCTTTACAATCCCTTTCAATGTGGTAATCATACAGAAAATGGAGATGAATAACATTTAAAAATCGATTTATTCATTTATAATACTATATTTGAAATAAATAAATATTTAATAAAAATTTTGAAAGAAAACTATTAGAACAAAAACGTTTAGAATTAATTTTTTTAACCAAAAGGTACAGGTCTATGTGTAATTTTTGCATTGGTCAATGTTCCGAAGAATTAGATGCAACAATTGAATATAATTTATCTATTCGTGAGAATGTTCAGGATTGACATCGTGGTGCCCTCTATCCATCCTTGGAAAAGGGATTGTTGAACATACGTGACAAAACCAAGGGGTCACGTATGGTGGACAGAATGTTCATCTGGAATAATTATTGCTCAAATTGGGATTGATATTCTTTGATATACAATATTTAATGTTATTACAGTTAATCGCATGTTGTGCTGTTATAATACCAGATCGGTTTCTATTGCGCTGTTACAACTTAGCAATTTTAGAAGCTCAAAGAATTTATCAAAATTCAAATTTGCAATATTTTTTTGGACAATTGCAAAAAGTGAACTCTGGATAGATTGCGTTAAAGCGGTGTAATTTTAAGCTTTTTTCCACATTTCTACAATGGCAGTTTTATGACATTTTTTTTTCCATTTCAAGAATTCATTATTTATGTGACACCTATGTTAAGTATTTCCTCGCGGACGTAGACCATAGCACGATCTCATCATCAGGTCAAAATAACAATCGTCATCAACAGTGGAGCTGACGCCAGCGTAGTAATTCATGAATTCTTGACGCGTAACTTTTCCATCCGGGCATCCTGGTGTATCCAGACTATCCAGGAAGTTACGTAATGTTTCTTCTTCTGTCCATTCACCGGACACAAACTTAGGATGGCGTTTCACGTTGCCAGCATACACAACTGAAAAGATAAATAAGTAATAATTGAGTATATGGTGACAACAAGAAACATAAGGACACGGACAAATTGTGGGTAACATAAAGGAAAATATCCATGTAGACAAACCAGACAATAATATTTATATAGCGATAGAGTTCGAATCGGTGGGATTGTTTATGTAGAATATATATATACCTTGAACAAAAAGTTAAGCGCCACCAGATTTTGAACCATTGTTTCGCAAATGAATGCAATTCACAATCATACTTGATAACAGAGATGTATATAATGGGACCTAATGTATTCGTATTCGTATTATGTAAAAATCAACTATGATCGTACATTATATTGTCTTTATAGTCTCAAATACAAAGTATCTGTTTTTCACCAATTATACCATAGGGATAACTATTGCTAGAAGTGACACATAGACCAGTAATAGAGAAGGAAACATTGAAAGGAAACATTACATTCTCACGAAGAGTTTAAAGCAGTGTTTATTCAAAAGCGAGTGTATGACCCGTCAGCACTAATCACAGCAGCAACCCTATCTGGCATTTTACGTACCAGTCTTTGAATGTCCTGTTGTGGAATTTGCTGCCACTCCTGATGCAATACTGCATCCAACTTGGTTACAGTTTGCACTGGAGGGTCTACGACGTGCGGGACGCCCCAGAATATACTGAATTAAAGTTAGCGGCGCTTAACTTGTTGTTCTACGTATATAAACTTTTTCGATAAGTTTGATGGATAGAAACCTACCCTTTAGTTTGTGTTGGTGTTTAGTTTTCCATCGTATCTCTTATGTAGATTTGCACTGTTCCCAAATGTATGTATATGGCTTTCGATATTTTGGTTCAGGAATTGTAAAGGGATTTCTTTTGATTCAAATTTCAAACACTAATAGCATCGATTTGTACTATTTTAGACGTGAGACTAGTGTAATTAAGTGTAACTATTGTGATTGTAACAATTAAAATGCGTAGTTTTCAGTGGAATTGCAAGAACAACAACCATATGACCTCAAATAAGCAAATTGGTGCTATCAGAAAACCTCTTTACAATGACTTTAAAATTTCCATCATTTAGATTGTGTTAGTAGATTTTCAGAGTGTTTGAATTCAATCCCTTAGATCTAGTATTGCTATTACAATCTACTTTATTTGATGTCTAATCTATTATCGTTCCAGTAACGACAGTAGAGAAGCTTTTTGTGTTCTGGTAATAATGGAGATTGAATTTTATCCAGCAACTATTATTCCTAAAACATCAAAGGCCAGTACATGTATATACAAAAACTTTCATTATGAAAAACGTGATGTAAATTAGAGGTTAAAATGTTTCTAAGATATGCTATTTACACCTAATTTAACTACTTGATCAAACTGAATTTTTTTAAAATTGAGAAGATTACACTAGTTTTGATATTGGGCTTTTTCAACACTGGATATATTTAGTTGAAGCAATCAGAATAAGTAGGAGACATATTTCTCTTCAATCCCTACAGTAGTTTTTTAACACCCATCAAAAAACATTACGAACTTAGAACGTTTACGTAAATCTTTTAAAAAGTTTTGGCGTTCAAAGAATGTTTTTTTTAGTTTAAATTGTTAGATAAGGTAGCTTTAAGTAAGCGACACATTTCTCTAGACTTTGGCCTATAGTTTCACAAATTTGAGCACCTATAACTTTCCCTACCTACTCAGAAAAACCAGACTGCCCCTTTAGCAGCAAACTTTTAAGGTATACTACCTCTTAGGGAGACCCAAAAATTATACTTTTCAAACTTGGTCAAGAAGAGTTCATCAGTGGATTAACTGGTGTCAAAACTATACAACAGAATACTTCTTTAATCCAAAAAATCCATAAAACTAAGTAATAAATCATAAGACTAAGAAATTTCTAAAACACGCTCGTAAATATATCGTCTTATATACAGAGAGCCTGTTTTTTTGCTCATAGCACCTAATGAGTTCAACTGATGAATATACACTTGTTAACTACGTTCGAAACTTTAAATTTTATCTTTATTCTAAAAGTTAGTATTTCTTAAAAACTCGTAGCTGCCGTACAAAATCAATTCTTCTCTTGAAATTCGTAAATTTTCTGAAACATTTATTTTCTTCCAATTAAATTATAAAAATGCCCAATTTAACGCTGCAATAATTCAATAGTTATAAATAAATGTGACATTACGAGTTGTTTGTGAATATCAGCACGCAATAATTTCAACTTTCACTGAAATTGACACAAACCAGTAATATAAATCTAACCGATCATAAAGTGTTATTAATCACCAGTTATCACAATGCAGCGATATTTCCATATGAAGAAGATGAAGAAATGAAAGTCGAATCTTACGTCCTACGCTTCTGCACCTGTTTGGGCCACTAAGGACGAGCAGCGACATGCAGTGTGCAATGAGGGAAATTTTTAAAGGAAAGCAGTAGCTACCCCTTTTCAATTTGCGACTTTATAGAGAGCTTAAACGTGTACAGCCTGAATCAGTTAAAAATGACTGACTAGGTGCTTTTTCAATGTCAGCCACTCCGACCTGCACCATTGACATGGGTAACCGGTCTGAAAAATCTGAAGGTGTTCTAGCACCATACCGGGATTGAACCCTGGACCTGAAGGCGTCGAAGAAGAAAAAGAAGATGAAGACAAGCCGACGACGACGACGACAACGACGACGAAGAAGAAGAAGATGAAGAAGAAGAAGAATTTACAAAAAATTGTAATCACGGAATTATATGACGTTATCTGGAAGACGATTCAATAATCACACTACTGACAAATTTATAAATGCAATTACCTTGTAAATCGTCTACTTCAATCTGTCCATTTTTATTGACGTCTAGTTTTTCGAAGGCTTCGTTTATAACTCGGATTCGTGTGTCTGACATGGGTGGTGAAAGATATCGAATAAATTCACAAAAATCTATTGCACCACTATTATCATTGTCCATCAATTCAAATACAAGTTTTAAATCACTTTCTGATATCTTGACTCCCATAGATTGGATACCCATATATAGTTCTTTATAACAGATACACTTTGAGAAATCATAATCCATTCTTCTAAACATTGTAGTTAGATGTTTAAGCCCGCCACATCCTCTCTGTAATAGTTGTTGTCTGATTCCTTCTATCAGAGCAAACTTCCGTTTTAACAGCCGGTCACCCATTTCAAATAGTTATATTCAATGTATGTCCAATATTTAAACAAACTGTAGTTGTGAAGTTCAAAAGCTACAGTTAACAGATCAAAATATGATATTACAAATCCCTTATAAGATCTGTGCCAATGTGTAAAGCAATTTGGAATATGAAGATATGACGAACACAAGAAACTAATTGACTCAGTAATAAAATGAATATCTTGGTCTGTTATAGTTGCTTGGCCTATTGATTCTTAATCATTGATTAGATTTCCGACTATTTTCCTTATAATAAGCACTGATCAGAGCATTCACCTCGCTTCCACAATTTAAATCACCTCATTTCATTACTTCCAGTTTTTTTATGCCAACAACCACGATGATTTCATTCAATATAATATATTATATGTTATTTAAATAGGTTGCTCAATATATATGACGATTTCACCAGAGCGTTTGATATGTAAATTCCCAATCTATGAATGAATTTAAACCGGCTGCTTTGAAATTTGTTTTCCAATTTACACTTATTTCGTCCTCTCCGCTGACATTTCTCCGATATTCTTTTATGTGTACTTCTTGAAGTTTCACAATAGTCAGACTATTTCCTCACTTTTTTGTTCTTTTAGCGAGTCGGCGTCTTTCCGAGAAATTCTCTTACATGTTATATTTGAAAGGATTTCACACACGTTTTCACCGTGGAATATTACTCGCCTAGTCTATTCATTTATAGAACGCAACACGAAAATTGTCATTCATGGATTCTTGAAACAGAACGTCAAGTAAAGTAGGCCTACGAATTTCAAATTCAATAATTCTTCACACATTCAATAATCACAGCGCTCTGTGTTTTAAATGTTGGTTCGAGTTCACTTACACAGAAACCAGGTTAATTCTAATAGCGAGGTTGACCTTGTACCATATTATCAATAATAATCTTCCATACAGGCAACGCTTATTTCACTTTTACTCCTTCAAGTTCTACTGATTCTGTTTATAACTCGCTAGAGAAAGTAATTATAACTATTTCACTCGCATCAACCCATCAACCTGTTTTATTTCACTTCCTCATTCCCGAGAGACTCGAAACCTACACAGAGACGTGCATCCTTCCTGATAAACATTCTACTAGTTACTCATGACCTACCTCTCCGACAATAATGATGTCATCAATCCGAAGTACACGAATTATTGACGTCATACGCAAAAGAATAATACCACAATATCGTCATCCAAAATGATCTCACGAATCTAAAAGAATGAATAACCAACCCAGGCTTTTATCCATTGAAATGACTAAATAAAACTATGATGTCATGCATCAAAAACGCACTAATCAGTGACGTCATATTGTATAATATATAGATAACATGACAATGCAGTCAACCAATGATCTCATGAATCAGCGACAACACTAAAAATAATCAATAACCTCACCAATCCTCTCTGATCCAATGAGTGAAATGACTAAATAAATCAACGATGTCATGCATGAGATACACAGGAGTCAGTGACGTCATACGCTACAGTACAGCAATACAAAATAGTCAGCTAAAGATTTCACGACTCATTTGCATTGCCAAAAATCATCAAAAACATTCCCCCTGATCCAAAGAATGAAATGACTAAGTACAACCTCAAATGCGAAATTATCGTGTTTAACTAGCTAGCGGATTTTGGCACTATAGCATCGAGCCATCTTTGATCCAGATATATAGGGATGCCACTGATTATTCAGCTTTTTTTTACAAAAAAGTTTTCAAAGTGCTCGATATGCTCTGTGGGTCTAATAATCGAATGGCATTTATGAAACATTTAGTTTTTTTTTATTTGTGCCTGCTGAAAATAAATTGTCATGAATGAATCCTAGATTTGTCTGACTTAATCTCTGTTAGAAATGTGTCGACATCATAACAGAATGCTCAAATTTTCTTTAAGTGCAAGTTTACGTTCACTTTTTTGGAAAAGTAGACATACCCCTAAATCTAACATGAATGACAAAATCTACCAGGAACTGGTATACCTGTAATAATAGAATTGATACTGACCACAAGTCGTATACATTTTTTCAAGAAATGGGTGATTTTCACTGTCACCAAAGTTAATTATAAGTGATATATGATAGCATGTGTAATCTTACTCAACACCAGATTTGTTCTCGACTTATATCTTTCATGCAAGCTAGAATATTTGATTTGACAAAATTATAGTGTCATTAAGACAGTGTGTTAACCAGACATGCTGTTCTAGATACATTATCTTGTTTAACAATAAAATAACATGGTTATAGGCAGCAAGATAATCGATCTGCTTTAAAATCATTGACGACAAATTACAATATAGATAGGTCATAGTACGACCAGACTATATAGGCATGTTTTACAAAGAATTAAAACTAAAACTCAAACAACAAATGGTGGACAGCTGTGCCATTTTGAGGGATTGATTTTAGTCTTGAATATGTGTAAAATGTACTAGAACTGCACGAAAATCACACAATATCTTCAAAAATACCTTAAACTGGGAATTTTACTCAATATTTCTATATATCACATATACATACCTTAAATTGACTAGTCGTCATTTTAACATTCAAACGCAGATAATTCTTGACACACATGGATTTGAATGCTCAAATTCCGACGGTGAGTTGTAAACACTATTACTGATTAGCTCAGCTAAAAAAGTCCTGTTTCTGAGACTAAAGTATGATTGGTCAAAAAATGGCCTACGTGTCCCTTTAAAGAAAAAATGAAAATCATTGTTGACAGGTAACAAATTAGGGTTCACGTGCATCCCTGATAACAGTTGATCCTCTTGGCATTGATCTTTCTCGGAGTCGACTAAGAATGGAAGGACATATGCTTCAATAGAACACTGAGAGACTATGTTTCAATAGAACTCACAGACTTAAACTATCCGATATTTAAAAGTTAACAAATAGCTGGTTGACAACACATTTTCAAAATATGCCACGAAAAATCTGTTGATGACACCAATATACTGATTAATGAAATACACTATACCATTCATCCCTATTACCAAGTAATAAAAATAAGTCCTATTTTTCATTCTTGATTCGCGAATCAAAAAATTGGACATGCTTCATCTATCTAGGTTTTAAAGGGACAAGTGCGCCATTTTCTTAACCCATCATACTTTAGTTTTCGTGTTCACAGCTCAACGTCGAAATTTGAGCCTTCAAATCCATGTGACGAGTCGTCTTTTTTGAGAAACTGCCATATATAGAAAAGACATGTATAGAAATTGAAAAAAAAGAAATTCCTAGTTTGAAATTTTTGAAGAATTTATGCGATTTTCGTACATTAAGACTCAAGATGGCGCAGCTGTCCCTTTAACGTGAGCCTTTTCATAACAGTCAAAATATTCGTCCCATTTTCTGTCAGGTTTGCAGAATATATCTAGACAACAGCTGTTCATGAAATATAAATATGATAGTTTATACTAACGAACTGAATTTAACATCTGTTTCTAATGAATTAATTATATATAATATAAAAATGATTATCATAACTGTCTGTCTAGATTCTTTCTGAAACAATCACAATAAAAGGTTTATGGTGTAGTTACCTTTATATTCCAGTTTTTTTTTTACTGAAAACCAATTGTTTTACTAAGTTAATATCGTATAGTTGCAGAGTCCATTAATCATAGAACCGAATTTATATTGTAGTTTCTCTTTAAACTAATATCATCAAACTGAAATGAAAGTTTCGGTGTAAACTAATCATATCATCATCAGTAAAATATTTTAGTTTCTCTTCGTAAACTTCTCATATCGCCAGTCTGTATATCATCAGATCTAGTACTTAGTTTCTCTGTAAACTAATAACATCAGTTTAATATTCTTTTTTTTTCTTCGTAAAATATAATCTGTTTTCTCTTCTTAAACTATTCATATTGTCAGTTTTTCATATCATTAGATATATGTTTCTCTGTAAACTAATTAGATCATTAGTTCTATATTCTAGTTTCTCTTTAAACTAATCAGATCATCAGAAAACTAATGTCTGAAAACTAACCATATCATCAGTTCTATATTCTAAATTCTCTGTCAACAAATCACATTACCAGGTTTATATTCTAATTTCAATGCAAACTAATCATATCCACAGTTTTATATTCTACTTTCTCTGTAAAGTAATCATATCATCAGTTTTATATTTAAATGTATCTATAACCGTATAATATCATCAGCTTTATACTTTATTTTCTCGTGTGTTTTATTCCAGTTTTACTATCAAAATTTGATTTATCTCCTATGGGCCTTTTGTGTTTTCAGATATATATATATCATCGATCTGCAATTATACAAATTGATTTCTTATATGGCCTATATTTGCTACTGATTGATTTATCGATTATAGATATATATCAATTATTCACAAATTAAAACTTACTCCACAAAACCCAGTAGAAGTCTAGATTGCAAACATACTAGCAGATACTAGTGGTGCCGTTTTGACAATTACTGCATCCGTTGAATTGTTTTTTGTAAATTTTCAGTAAATTTGACTGAAGTTGAATGAAATTATCATCATTGTCGCTTTATTCGTCAATTGTCCGTTGATATTAAGGTATTCAAATATTTGTCAATGTTTGATTGTCGAGTATAGCGTTGACTTGTGGAAACGAAAGACAACAACGAACAAAGTATATACGCAAATCGATATATATTATACTTTGTCCTTTCATTATTGTGTTTCAATAAGGGCGTTGGTTGATCTTTTTGCTTCGTCAAGGAAATTAATTCTGAGGTAAATCAAAGACATTCATCTTTTTTTTTGAAGAAATGTCAGTAATTAGTTTCCAATTTTAGAAACTTGGGTCTTATATATGATATTAAATATTATCCTCTTTGTCCGTGTATTTTTTAACCCTTAACAACTACGGATATACTGTTATAATGCCATTCTCCTTTGTCCTAACAATCTTGTATGGTTCAAATTCTTTGGGTTTTAGGGTTTTTCACTGCTTCGCCCGCACTGGATCAATCGTCCATCTTT